CCCCGCCGCTCACACCGGCTTTAAGACCCTCCCGTGGAAGCTTCGCCTCCCCTCCCCCCCCAGATCCGCACCTCGGGAGCTGGGGACCCCCATGTCCGAATCGAGCTGCCGAAGCCTCCCCCCGGCAGAGCAGCGGGGGAGGGAGCTGGAGGCTAAATCATCCTCCGAGACCCAGCACTGGATTAGGGAGCTGCCAGGAGACAAGATTGGATCCCTGCCTCCAAGACGGGCTGGAAGATCAAACCGGATTAAAGTACAAATCTCTGGAGCGCGGCGCATCACACTCTCCATCCAATTTGGGGAGGGCAGGAAGTGGCCCTAGGGGAAACTTTCTTGCCCAGGGAGACTCAGGCTGCCGGGGAGAGGCCGGGAGCAGGGGCTTGGGGACGATAGAACTATAGAATCATAGAATTCTAGAACTACAGAATTCTAGAACCACGGAATAATAGAATTCTAGAACCACACAATCATAACATTCTAGAACTGCAGAATTCTAGAATCCTAGGATTCCAGAACCATAGAACACTAGAACTGGAAGGGCCCTTAGGAGGTGATCAAGTCCTGTCCCTGTCCCTGCTGGCGGGACCATGGTGATCCAGTTGAGCCGCAAGACACGGTCGCTGCTGGCGCTGGTGCTGAACTCGCTGGCCCTTGGCTTCGCCGTGTCGGCTTTCGCCACCAGCTACTGGTGTGAGGGGACGCACAAGGTGGTCAAGCCGCCCTGCCTGTCGGCCATCCGGAAGGGCAACTGCGTGCCCGTGGGAGCCAACGAGACGGAGCCTGGCAACGCCACCCTGGACCCCAACGTGGTGCAGTACATCTGGGAGACGGGTGAGGACAAGTACGCCTTCCGCTACTTCCACACCGGCTTCTGGCTCTCCTGCGAGGAACGCCACAGAGGTACAGACTGATGTCCCTGTGCCCCACCACAGAGTTGGGTGCATCTGCTGCCCAGGGAGGGGTCCCCATAGAGCTAGTCCCCATGCCTCACCCCAGAGGAGGCTGCATCTCTGCTTGGAGAGGTGTCTGTGTTATACTCAGCCATCACACTTCACTCCAGAGCTGGGCGCATCTTCTGCTGAGGCATCTCTGCTTGGAGAGGTGTCTGTGTTATACTCAGCCATTATACTTCACCCCAGAGCTGGGCGCATCTTCTGCTGAGAGAGGGGTTCTCCCTTGCACCTAATGTCTGGAGAGGAGTCCATGTTATACCCAGCCCCAGTGCCCCACCCCAGAGAGGACTGCATCTCCCACTGGGAGAGGTGGGTCCCTGTTATACTCAGCCACCACACTCCACTCCAGAGGTGGTCACATCTTCTGCCAGGTGAGGGATCCCCATATAGCCAGCTTCTGCACTTCTTCCTAGAGCAGGCTGTATGTCCCGCTGGGGAAGGAGGTCCTAGATGCTCAGCCCCCTTGCCTCACCCCAGAGGTGGCCGCATCTCAATACATCCTCCAGCAATCCCAAGGTAAACCAGATAAAGCTAGGAGCTCCCCTCCATCCCACTGATCTCACTCTCTATCCTTTTCTCTCTCCCCTGCCCCCCTAGGTGAGATCTGCCGCAGTTTCATTGAACTGCCCCCCGAGTCGGAGAAAGGTGAGCAACCGGACAGACAGATCCTGCGCGGGACTTTTTCCCTGCTGCCAGGCAATGCCCTCCCCAGAGGCACGTGGCTGGCCCAGCTTGGCGCTCCCCTCCATCCCACTGATCTCACTCTCTATCCTTTTCTCTCTCCCCTGCCCCCCTAGGTGAGATCTGCCGCAGTTTCATTGAACTGCCCCCCGAGTCGGAGAAAGGTGAGCAACCGGACAGACAGATCCTGCGCGGGACTTTTTCCCTGCTGCCAGGCAATGCCCTCCCCAGAGGCACGTGGCTGGCCCAGCTTGGCACCTCCCTCCAGGCACCCCGGGGTGGGGGCTCCAGCTGGCAGCCCCCCA